GTAAATCAATAAAAGTTACTAAAAGAAAATTCAAAAAAAGAATATATTTAATTTGCTTGAGTTTTACTAATTAGGCTGATATTTGTCTGCCTATAACCATGATTAATTTTTTCCTTTGTATAAAGAAAGAAGAACTGCAATTATTTAGCAAACTTGCTCATTTGGTAGGGAGAAGTAGGACACAGGGCTTCCCGTGTGTTAAAAGTCATTCAAACAAAACTCCATGAGAATCAAATTAAAGGTACTGAAGAGGGGTGGAAAATACTACAAAATACAAAGGTCTGTGTGCTTAGCAGTCTCTCACGCTCTTTAGCTCACCAGGGGACAGTAAATGCATTTCTTAAAGTGGGTCTGTGTTCCCAGATGTTGAAGCCGGATTAATTGTGAATGCTTACCCCACTATTTTTGTTAGACAAACGGTCTCATGTTTCTGGGAATGGGAAATGGATAACACGAACACACAGTCATGTCCCTCCAGACTTGAGCTGATTTATGCTCTGATCCTCACTCTGGAAGGCAAGGTAGGCTGTTGGCACCCATTAGCTCTGCAGTAGTGGGTCTGACTGTCTGACTGTCAGCATTCCCACCATAAACTTCTGTTTTTAGAGGTTTATGACTTGGCTATAAAATGCTGCCTGGAGGGTGGTGGATCTTACAAAATTGGTTTAAATTACAAGAGAGTAAAAAAAATAAAATAAAATAAAATGTCTGTAATTTCAGACACTATCTGGTGCTTCTGGAACTCTGAAAAGCCTGTAATTGTGTTGTCTGTGCACCTTATTGGCATTCAAATCAATGCTTTGAAGTTCAGCGTTTTAAATATAAAATGAAGATACTACCTTTACTTTGAAGAGATGGTTATCAAAGAATATTAAGGTATAGCTTGAGAGTAAAATAAGAATAGGAGTTTTCTTTCTAGTCAAAACAATTTTAGGATCTCTTACATATGAATCAAGGACCACATCAGGTGGTTAGAAGGGACCAATGGTAATATTCAAAATGAAGCCTGATGAAAAAATTACTTAGGTTTAATGAAATGGGGTAGTCATAAATTCAAGAGATATGTACAATTTACTAGGCACAGTTATAGGATGGCTGCTCTCCCAATTGAATAAGCATTTCTTTTAACAGTGCCTATGACAATGTGAACTTTTAGAGGAAGAAACAATTTGTGGGCTGATACTACCATAGTTTTCTCTATTATTCCAGGACACCGATTTCAAAATTAGCTTATCGTCAAGTGCTATCTCCCTATATACTGCTATAGTCAAAAAATAAACAAAAACAAAAACTTAAAGAGATTTCATTTATTCATAATAAAAAGTTTAGTGAGGATCAATTACGTGTCAGACACGATTCTAGGTGCCAGGACAAATATGAAGAAGAATATGGCATCGCCCCTACCCTTGAGGAACAGAAAGAGAGATAGCTTCGTGATTGGTATACTTTGAGAAAGTGGTACAGTGTAATTGAGGCAGTAACAGGAATCACTTTCATTTGAAAAAATCTCTAAGAATGAGGACTAGCAATTGATTTTTGCAGGCCCTTCAGATGATTCTGAGAACAAGTCTTATGCCCTAAGGCAATGTTTCTCAAATTTTGGACAGCATCAAAGACACCTAAAGTGCTTTTTAAAACATAGATTGCTGTACCCTACCTGTTCCTCCCCCATCCCACTGCTGAAGTGGGGCTCAAAAATTTGCATTTCTACAAATTCCCAAGCAATATTGGGGCTGCTTTCCTAGAAATTCTACTTTGAGAACCACTGTCCCAAAGCATCCATTGCATGTAATCCATTAACTTCTCTCACTAGCTATGTAACTATCCTTCAGAGATTTGAGAAAATAGTGGCTGCAATCATCTCTGTTTTGTCGTTCAGAAGGGGAGCTCTCCATGAGAAAGGCCGAGTGGAAAAAAAAGATGGCATTTTTAAAAGCAGGAAACTTGTGTAAGAGTTAATTTGTGAATGATCAAGTTAAAGCAATAGCCATCACTGAGAAAATGCAAATCAAATGTTAAAGTGTGAGGAAGTAGGAATTTGAGCAGATCTATTTACATATGAAATAGTCAAAATCATTTTCTCACTCCGTGTTGTTGATAAATCATGTAGGATTCTGTTCCTTGGAATTTCAGGTCTAAGATACAGGGAGAATGAAATACTAATTCTGCATCATTTTTTTGGCTTCTTAGAAGAAAAGCAGATTCATATTCTTTTGCTTTCTTAGGCATAAAAAAAAATCATTGGCTCAACTTGAACCTAGGTTTTCCTTTTCAATTCACATGCCACTTCCTGACACTGGAAAATGCATGATTTAAAGACCTAAGTTTCAATATTGGAATGTGACTAAAAATTCATGTCTAAAGCTCAAAGTTTTAAAAAACCATTGCTTGGAGTTTAGTCATTCAGGAACTTCATAGAAAGATAATTATGCAATCTACCTCTCACCCATCCATCCCTTTAACAACAAAAAAGAAAATTTGACTTAAATAAATGTGCAATCCAGTAGGTGAAGACAGAAATTAAATAGCGACTTCATTAAGACTGTAATAAATTTTATTTAAAAAACACAACTTTGACAGGAGCTACAGAAGAGCATCTAACTGTCTGAAGGCTGGAGTTAAAGGTCAGTGAAGGTTTCTTTGAAGAAGAGACACTTAAGGGGATATCTGAGGGATGAATAGGCAGAAACCGGGGAAAGATTCATGTATAACAGTCAAGAAGGACAGCTTATGTCTAGGACACGAGGCAAGAAGACAGAAGGCCAGGAAGATGAGCGATATCAGGGATAATGATGTCTGGGAGGTCTGTAAATCCAGTTATTCAGGCCATATGGAAGGGAAGTCAGCAAGCGCCTGACATGATCAGATTTGCATTTTTAAAGAATCACTTGTGGTTTTTATTCAAAATGAACTGAAGGAGTGAGAGGCTGCATTCAGAACAGACATGAAATAATAATTTAAAATTCTTATCCTTATTTAGTTCCTAAAGGAAAAAAAATTCATAGGTTTTACTCTTTCATGATAGCACATGATTAGCATTTTGCCACTTACAATGTGCATTAGTTGGTTCTACACTTAAGAAGAACATTTATTTTAAGCAAACTCAAAGTGTACAGAGAAGATACAGATGAGAGAAATGAATAGCCCAATTTTTATGTTATGAGCTAAATTGTACTCTCCCGACTCTCAAATTTATATGATGGAATCCTAACTCCTAATACCTCAGAATGTGACTGTATTTGGAGATGATGGGGCCTTTAATGGGGTTTATATTAAATTAAATTAGTTAAATTAATATGAGGTTATATGTGTGGGTCCTAGTCCAATCTTCTTTTAAAAAGAGATTAGGACTCGAACACAAAGGGAAGACCAACTGAAGACACGGGGAGAAGACAAGCCATCTACAAGCCCAGGAGAAAGGCCTCAGAGGAAACCAAACCTAATGACATCATAATCTTAAACTTCTAGCCTCTAGAATTGTGAAAAAATGAATTTCTGTTGTTTAAGCCACCTAGTCTGTTGTATTTTGTTATGGCAGTTCTAGAAAACGAATATACTTTGTACCAAAAATTCTTTGTTTTAAAAAAATAAATCACCATAGATTTTCTTAGAAAATGTGTTCTCTTGATTTGAAATATGTTCTTTTCTCAGCAGGAGTACAAACGAAAGAGAAAAACAATTCGTCAGAGATTTTGCGGGAGTGAGAGGTAAGGGAAAAACCAAAGGAATGTGCATGCTGTGTGAAGTGAAGCATAATATTGGTCAGACTTCCGATCTAGGGTCCTACACTATCCAAGAATGTCCACACTGGCAAATTTCAGAGACCCGGGTGGTACAGTGAGCTCTGCCTTAACCATGAAAATCAACAATTAACAATGTATGCCTCATGCACACATTCACATCAGGAAAATTTTCTTCATTCTGCCTATTTCTCTTCAAAATAATCAAACACGTATCTTGTATATGTCTACCAGTCTACTATGTATTGAACATTGTGGGGAATATAAAGAATTTTAAGACACTGCCCATGACCTCTAGGAAATCAAGTTAGAAATCAGTTAACATTGACATTCCGGTTTGTTATCTTTCAAAAGTGGGTTAACAGACGTTAGTTTGGAATGGTTTCCCAAGTGATGGCAAGATTCATCATAGATGGACACACCTGTCTGCAATGGACTGACCTCTTGATGACACGAACAGCCATACATTCGTCCATGTTAAGTCAGCTGGAGACACATAAACACACCAAACCATGGAGACACAGCTTTTACTTTTCTTGTTTGTCATTGAGCAGTTTCTTTTTCTCTGTGGTTTCTTGAGCTTTGTTTCTCATGAAAGCACAGCAGGTACAACTATTTTAACTCTGTTCCTGGCTGAGACGCTCTTTTGTAAACATTCCCTTAAAGTTAAAAGTAAAAGCCGTTTTTCCTTTTCTGACAATGAAAAAAGTACAATCTGCTTTTTTTTTCTGTTGAGTAAAATAGCAAAAACACACAGCCAGGTCCTCTTAAATGCAAATGCCCCCTTGACCTCCCCTTATATTTCCGTGTTCCTTGGGACTTTCCAAGAACTCCTATTTCTCTATATTTCTTCGCATTTCTCTTATGCTAACTGAGAAAGTCTATCATCTCAATCTTCAGAAATCAATGAAAAACCATTTGGATGCATTGTTCACCACATGGGCTCTTTAGCTTTGGGGTACTGGGCATTTGTTATCCCTAGCAGAATTGGAAGCATCTGATTTTGTTGATCTATAGGCATAGAGAAGACTAAAGACTCAGTAGGCATATCGTTATGACTCTAGATACATATAAACATTCTATGTATACATTTTAGCAAGCAAAACATATTTATAATTACATTGGAATTTTTTGGCTTGAAGCAAAGAGATGGAGAATTAGTTTGATAAAGTGCTTTTTTTTTTTTTTTAATTCTACTGCTTTGGGCCCTAGAAAGGAATGGAATTAAAAGGAAAGTTTTATACAGCGCAAATGTTTTACCTGGCAAAGCCGACACCTCTGCTGACTCCATTAGCATCTCTTAGTATTCTTGTGGAAATGACATGTCCAAAGGGTTTCAGCATATTCTCAAGTTCCTGCTCATCCATCGAAATGGGGAGATTAGAGATGTATAGGTTTGTTGGGTCTTGCTCTTGTTGCTAAGGAAAGGAAAGAAACAAATGCAGTCAGTTCTAAATATTGAGAAACGTGTTGCACAAATGGATAAACTTTTGATTAAACTGCAATCTAGTCTCCAATTTCCAGCACCGTCTTGAAAGTTCTTCTACTATGACACTACTTCCTTTAACTGAATCTTTCCTTGCCAGATGTTTTTCATAGAAACAATATCATCGATGAAAACCCATCTTTCTGCCAGCCTTCCTTAGAAGAGACTAATAAACATTTATTGCAATTGAACTAAGGTAAATATGTATATTCTTCTCTATTACCACTAACCACTACTTCTACTATTACCAATCTATCTACCATTGCCACTAGTTATAATGTTGCATTTGGTGAGTACTCATAACATGCTAGGCATTGTTTTAAACATTTAATATTTCGTTCAATAATCCCAATAAATACAATTGTTACTATTTTATAGATGGCAAAATTGATCCCTATCTTGTCCAAGTTATACCTCATAAATGTCAAAACCAAGGCTAAAATATGGAGGTATCACAAAAGTACATGGGCTTCACTGTCCTGCTATACTGTCTCCCTCTAGACTAATGGGAACAAAAATTATGGTCCTAGAACAGCATCATCAGCCTCAGCATCACTGGGGAACTTGCCAGAAATGCAAACTAGTAGGCCCCACCCAGAACTACTGAATCAGAAACTTGAGGGTGAGCCAAGTAATCTGTGTTTTGAAAAGCCCGCCAAGTGATTCCGATGACTGCTCAAGTTTGAGACTTGTTGCCATAGAGCATACATAAATATTTATATGCAAATATTTATATGCATTTTCTAATCCAGCAGCAATAGTGCTTACATGAACTTTGCTTAATAGAATGGAAATCAAACAATTGTTAGCATTAATTCTATGTGTATAAATGTTCTCTATTTCATGCAATGGATTAATAAATTGGTACTTAGTTGTATGTATATCTCAAAATAAAACAGCCATATATCTGACATAATTAATTATTCTTAACAATAAAATATATTAGATATTTCATTGAACCACTATATTTTAACCAAAACAACAACTTCAGGATAAGCGAAATTAAATTAGAGAAAAGAAATCCTGAAGTCTATAAGAAATGACAATGTGTAACAAAATATCTTTTGTGAAGAGATATCATATTTTGTAGAAAATTTGACATTTTAAGCATGGTAAAAAGTACGACAAGCAAAATTTCAAATATTATTTCAGGTCAAGAAACAATTTTGGAATAAAACTAATCTCCATTATTTTTAACAGCTCTAAATATTCAGATAGGTCCTTATATTTTTATTATGCTTCGAGATGAAAAAGATTTATTATTAGGTTTGTTTTTTAAATATAGTTTAGTTATAAAGCATTTTTAGCATCTTGCAAAATAGTAAAAATAAACATAATCAATCAGAAAAAGACAACATGGCTTTAGTATTTAGGAATTGGTGTAAATGTAGAAAATGTACAAATGTAGTCAGCCCTCTTCTCTCTCTCTCTCTCTCACACACACACACACACACACACACACACACACACCACTAATAAATGGCATGATCCAAGAGAAAAAAGAGATTTTTTTCTTAAATTGTCATGATCATATTTTTGTTTTTTTTTTTGTTTTGTTTGTTTGTTTTCTGGGGTGGTGAAAAAAAGAAAATGTGATGTTTCAGATACATAATAACAAATCTTATGCACATACAACTTTCACATTTATATTATTCACTACTCATTATTTGATTTTAATCTTCAGATCATTACTCCAAAGGTAGCTGGGCAAATGTCATTATAGTTTTTGGATAATGAGGAAGTGGAAGCGTGGATGATTCATCATCTTATCCAAGGACAATTCAATAATTAGAGATGGGATTAGAATTATATTTATCGACCAAGTTTCCTATCTTTCACTCAGTGTACTTTCCACTAGCTTGATGTTTCTCAAGTTTCAACCATTTGGATATCATTTTAGAAAATTTTGCCAGCCACGTACTATTATTTCATTTACAAAAAATTTTTCTTTAAATCAACATACCTTTGGGCTTAAGTCTATTAGTTTCAAAAGATAAACTAAGCTAACTAAAAAGCCATATTGCTTGGCATAAACAGGCTACTGTGAAATAGGGAACGAATCCATGTTATTAAATTGTACTAGAAAACCGTTTGTTTACAGAAGGCTTTGACCCTCATGGTTGACTCTCTCTTAATTACAAATGAGGTTCGTAATTAAAATAGGTGTGAGAAACACACTAGCACCAGACAGTCTTTTTCCTGAGAAGACTCAGAATTGAGAAAGAATTAAGAACAACTTTCTTAATGATGTGATTTCTGGATCCTACACATCTCTATTAACTCATGTTCCATGAGAGATAGATACATGTCCCATAGCTTGGGAGTTTCTGTGTTAACCCGGAGCTTCTCAAAGAGTGGACAACAACACACGGCAGTCCTGTGAATAGAATTTGCCCAACATTCTGCACTCCTAGGTCTTTGATCAAGCTAAATAGCTATAAGCAACCAACCACCCTATTCCAGGGTACTGTACAGATTTTTTCTTTTTCTCTAGGCAGCAGTGCACCAGTTTGTCCTGATTAAAATCCATTTCTAAATTCCCCAAGTGTAGAATGCATTGCAGCTTCTCAAAATGGTTTGCAATAAACACAAAGAGCTTAGTACATAAGGGATTTCCCAGCAAGCTATTTTCTGAATCCAAATTCAAACAGTAAGGCCAACTCCTTAATTTGTATTCACAGAGACAATAAAGCATTGGACAGTGTCATTCTTTAATTTGTATTCACAGAAAAAAATAGCGTTGGGCAAGTGTTATTTATTAAGTAATTCTGTCCTTTGAAATGCAGTATTAGTTTTGAATATATTTGTTGACTTGACAATAAATTTTAATTTTTGCATAGAGTGAACTTTAGAATAATACATGTATTTATATTTTTACTTTCAATTTTATTTATATATCAGGTTTATGTAAATAGATGATGACTTTCAAAAGATTCTTGGACACTATGAACCAAAGAGCACTTTCCTATTAACTTTTCAGAAAAAAATTCTCATGTGATCACTGCAATCTTAAAGAACTTTAAAAATCTTTTTTTTTTTTTTTAACTTAGTGAAATCTATGATGATTCAGCTCCAGAATGAATCTAAGGGGTCATCTTATCCAATCTGATCATTTAACAGATGGAAAAAAACCAGAAGTTAGAGGAGTGGGTATGACTTTCTCAAGGTTGCCCAGCTAATTAGTAACACACTAGAAATAGGACCCATGTCCTTTTATACCTGGTCCAATGTTCTTACCACTTCATGACACTGCTATTGCTTTTAAAATCCAATGAATAATAGACAGCAGTTTGTGGTCCAAAGGAATATTAGTACAGACACAAATAAATATCTCAGAACTCCTTGTTTTGTTCACTTTTGCTTATTTACCAATTAGCTTTAGCTACTCAGTTAATGCTATGGGGGAAAAAAAAAGTTCCTAGCCTTAGCCAGCATTTTACACATAGTAACTGAATGAATACTCTGCAGTATACATATACTTTACAAAAGTATATGACAATTCACACACCCATTTTATTTAATTGACACCATAAGTAACTCACCCATTTTGGCCTGTTTCTATATTTTTCCATCTGTATTGGGATTTCTTGATTTATTACTTAGTTTTGTCAAAAAGTGGTGGAAAAGTTAGAAAAATACCTTCTACATTGTTAATGGGAACAGAGATAAGTCATTTCATTCGAGAATAAGTCATTTTTCCAAAATGACTGGACTTTTCTTGATTTTTTTGTGTGTGTATGTAAACTGTCAAAATAAGATTTATTGACATTTGCTTTTTAACAGTTTAAAACAACTTCAGAACTTCATAACATTTCAAGGTAGCTGAGCAAATGGAGGATAAAAAGTCATTGCTCGTATCTAAATCAAAGGTTATGTCTGGGGCTGCGTTTTTTGGATATGCATTATGGCTATGATATACATGTGATTCTGAGAAAGGTAGTAGAAAAAATTTGAAAACAATCTGATAACACTCAGGATTGGCAAAACTATATTGAAATATTCAGGAAGTAGTTGCTGGCATCAGATACTTTCAAGAAATATTTCTCAAGTTACTTGGAGTGGGGACCATTTTCAATCTGTCATGGACCAAGATTTGTAAAATATAATAAACAAAAATTAATAGAAAATAAAGTAAAATTTAAAAATATGCAAAATGCAAGTTTTAATTTTTTATGATTACATTCAAGAGACCAAAATTACATTGAGATTAAATGTTATGTTAATACAAAATTGTTATAAAAGGTTTTTTATGCTTACTCTCAATTTCTGTGCTTATTACATTACAAACAAGTACCATTTGGCAGAACAAACTTTATCTATTTTAGGAAACTACATTCCTATTTTTTTCCACCAAAATATAATTCTCTATGGGTCTTATCGTTATTAATTTTTTGCTTATTTTATATACTATCAAGTCTTTTTTAATCACAAAATTATGTGTAGCCAATTTATAGTCATTTTTGAACTATTAGGTGGGTAAAGCCATTTCAAGATGAAATATCCTGAGTAGTGGTGACAAAACACAAACATGTGAGTATAATATTTAAAAATACATTAAAAGGGATGTTCATATAGACTGAAGATAATAATATTATTATCTTACATAGAGTGAGTTTTATGGTATTCAATGTGTTTCAGTGTTATTTTCTTTCAAATGGTCCTTTATAATAACTCTATGAGGTAGAAAGGGCAGGAGTTATTATTTCTATTCTACAATTGAGAAGGTTGGTTCTGATATCGTAAAAGGGTTATCAAGGTCACACTGCTGGTAAGTAAATAAATGATATTATAAATAAATTTTTTTTTTGATTCTTGATCTAGTACTCTTCATACTACACTATACCAATTTGAGATTGCCTATAATAATGCTATTATTGGATTTTACGTGTAGAAAAGAAAATCAGTGGGGAGACAAAGGAGCAATTGTTTTTT